GGCGCCGCGCCACGGGGTCGGCTCCTGCGCACCCCGGGGTGCTGCCAACCCCACTGCCCGGGTGACCGGGGTGCCCAGGAGGGCTTATGGGGCTGCCCCCAGCCCCCCTGCAGACCCCGATGGCTCAGTGCAGGGCTTCCCAGCAGGCTGGTCGCCGCTTGGGTTGCTTTTGGGATGCCTGCAGGAAATTCAGCATCCGGAGGCTGGGAGCTGAGGGTGGCAGGAATGGCCCTGGCAGATTGTCCCCAGTGCCCTGGCCTAAAGGGACCCCAGTGTGCTTGGGGTCCCCTATATGTATGGGGTCCCCTGTGTGTACGGGGTCTACAGTGCCTACAGTTTGCCATGTTTCAGGTCCCCTCTGTGTGTAGGATCCCCCGTGCCTGCAAATTCCCTGCAGGGTCCCCTGTGGGCATGGGATTTGCTGTGTGCATGGGGTCCCCTATGAGCACAGTGTCCCCCGTGCCTGCAGGGTCCCGAATGTGGGTGACATCCCACATGTAAGTAGGGTTCCTTCTGCCTTCGTGGTCCCCTATTGCATGGGGTCCCCTGCAGCTCGGAGGTGAGGCTGCCAGCTCAGAAATCCCACCTGCAGGGCTGACCCGCAGTAAAGCTTCCTGGGGCTCAGGGCTGTCTGCTACCAAGGGCGAGCAAATTCTTACGTTCGTTTTATTTCCAAAAAAATCTGTAAAATGAAAGTTTTTGTTCCTACAGAGCAGCCTTATTTATGTGGCTTTGCCTTCAAAACAAATTATGAAAAAGCCAGCTTTTCACTAATTCCGTTTTTGTTCAAAGTAGGGGGGGAAAGTAAGACTTCTTCAAACAGTCATCTGCAAAACCGAGCAGCAGCTTTTCCTAGGAAGGGTGCTTTGTGCCGCTGTGCAGCGGGGCTGATCAAGATCAGCCTCATAAGATGAGCTCCTGTGTCTGGGTTGCTTAGTTTGAATTGTGGTTTGCTCTTCTTTAATACCCTAACTCCAAGCGTTATCTGCTGCTTCTGCTCTTTCTTTTTTAATAACCGGCTTGATGGGAAGAGAGCAGAGGGGACCCCCCAGTGGGATTGCAGGAAACTGGACGCCGTGCGGCTCGGGTGGGCAGCCCTGGCCACCCCACACAAGGACCGGCTGGCTGCTCGGTGCAGAGATCGAGAAAGTCCGTAAAACCCTTTTCACTAAATTCTGGTAGAAGTGGCAGCAGAATCCGGCTGCTTTGTTTTAGTTATGACTTGTCCTCTACCAGAAAATTAACAAAAAAGTTCCCATCGCAGCAGCCCCGGCGCAGCGCTGGCTGGATGTGGGGATGCCCAGGCAGCTCGACGTGACCGCCGCTGCTTTCGGCTGTAGCAAGGAGGAGTTCTCACAAGTTAACAAAAAAAAAAAACACTTCTTTCTTCTTTAATTATTTTCTTCTCCTAAGATGATTCAAGCAGAAAAAAACATCTTTATATTTTTTTTTCTAATATTTTCACCCTTAGAAGTGATGCTCTTTATATTGTAGAAAATCCGTGAAAATTTTCAGTTTTGACAATTTCACTCCGATTTTGTCTTTTGGCCATCTGTGCTATGTTTTGCTAAGATTGACTTTAAACTTTACAAGAAAAAAAAAAATCTCGTTCAAGCCAGCAAAGTAACACAGCTCATTTAGCACGTCACGAATAAACATACCAGCCTTTAAAAATTAGTCAAAGCACCTGCTGGCAGTGAGGTGCTTTCCACAAAACTTCTGATTACAACATATCCACTATTTTCTGAACGAAAAAAAATAATAATAATAATAAAAATTAAAAAAATGTTAAAAAAGACTTAATTGTTGGATAACCCCACAACTGGTGGTGGTCTCTGTGTAGGGGGCTGCTGCAGCCCATGCTGGGTGCACGCAGCGGGGATGGGAGCAGACGGGGAGGATGCTGCAGCACAGTTCTTAGGGCGAGCCTCCTCGGAAAGACCTGCTGGGTTTGTGTGTGCTCAGCAGAAGGAGTTTTACAGCTTGCCTCCAGCTTCTCTCGCAATCAGGCACCCGTGTGTGAGCGGTGAGGTCTCCTAATTCTGCCCTGCCAACAATTAGTGTTTCTTAATAATGAGTGCGACTGGGTTTTCGCCTTGCTCATCAGTTCTTGAAGTCACTTTGCTGCTTCGGGGTGGGAGCTGCCTCCGTCACAGCCCTTTCTCTGCCTTCAGCCTGGCTGCTGAGCCCTGCGAGGGCGATGGGCTGTGGCTCGCCAGGCACACTGGGCACCTGGCAGCACCCCAGGGACCCGGCAGCACCGCTTGCCAGGATTAATTGTTGCAGTTTAGCAGGTTTGAGAAGGAAAACGGCCCTCTGGGGGTGCAACCCCCCTGCTCTGCTGCTCTGCCCCCCCTGGAAATGCCATTCTGCTGTTGCTGTGAACGCGCCTCTTCATTTCTGTAGCCAGGTCGCGGCTGCACAGCTCATTCCCCAACCTGCCCCCGAGGGGCTGCGCTGGGAGGGGTGAGACAAAACCGTCCCCAGAGCCTTTTTGTCACCCCCCCGGGGCTGCTTGAGGTCACCTGGGCCGCGGGGCCGTGACGCCAGGCACTGGTTATTTCGGGCAGGCTGGTGGCGAGCGGCTCCATCACCCCCGGTCTGAGCTGTACTGAAACACGGAGGAGACACAGTGAGATGCTTCAGCAAACCACAGCCGGGGCGAGCAAAGGTGCTGCAGGGCCCAGGGCCCTGCTGGGAGGGCACAGGACACGGTGCCCTCACGTCCCATCGCTCCCCTGGCAGAAATCCTTTGTGATCAGGTGGATTTTGTAGCTTAAGACATCGCCAGCAGCTACCTTCGGGCTTCGAAAAGCCTCCCCAAGGTCCACGTGCTGCAGAAAGTAAATCTAGACTGCAGTAAAAAGAGGAAATGATACCATTTCTCTGGTGTATAGGTTTTATAAATGAAATTTTATAAATGAGACTCATCCGGTGAAGGCCAGGAGCTAGGAGCCTGGCCACTGGTGGCCAGCAGCAGCAGCAGAGTTTAAAGCTGGGGATCAGCACTGAAAGATTCTCTGCTCCTGCAGATCCTGCAGCCCTATTTCCTCCTTCCCTGGGTTGGTTCAGGCTGGGAGGCAGGTCCCTGTAGCGAGCTCCCTAATTGAGGAGGTGGCAGTGGGCAAGCAGCCTCTTTCCTACCCAAGTTTTGGATCTCATTTCTGTCCTGAGCATCTTTCCCTGCCAGCGTTTGTGTGACTTCAGAGAGGAACAGCAAAGGGTTTTTGAGCAAGGCGAGTGCAAACACAGAAGGGATGCGGGGAAGGCCAGCTCTTCGTGCTGCTGCCTCGTCTCGTTTCCCATCTGAACTGGTGGAAAGTCTGAGTAACCGCGCTGCAGCCCGATGTGCAGCCCTGGTGCCGTGCCCTGCGCCCTGGCCTGTTGTGGATCGGTGTCAGGAGGGTGCAGCCTGCGTCTTCCCACAGTCTGAGGGCTGTCTGCAGCCATCAGTGGGCCAGGCTTTGGGTGCAGGCTTGTATGGAAGGAAAACTCAGCCCCCCTTGGAGGCTGAGCCCTTGGGGGGCTGAGATTTTCAAAACTGCTCAGCACCGAGCTGGTCCTGGTCCGGTGCGATGGCAAAATGCCCCTGCACATCCCTCACTCGGGCTGTCTGCCACACAAATCTGCTAAACCATGGCTAGTTTTAGAAACAATGCTGAAAAGCTACCCCTCATCTCTTTTTCGTGGGCAAGAAAAGTTGAAGCTTGGAGCTCCAAACATGTTTAGCAAAGCAGGAGCCAGCCCAGATTGTTTTTGGAGGTGCACGTCCCCCTGAGCCCCGCTGTGTGCAGGAAATCCACACCTGCTAAGCATCAGGAGCCAGGGATGTTCGCTCACTCTTAAATGCAAACCTGCATCCCTCTTTAATTTTATTTGCATAAGCAAACTCTGCGGGCGAGGCGGGTGGGAAGCAGCGTCCCCATCCACCGGGGCTGTTCTCCTCGTCGTTTCAGGGGTTCCTCCTTGGAGCCAGATGGCGTTTCATGCTTGCTCTGCCTGAGCAAAATCATTACCAAAGTGAAAGGCAGCAGTGAATCAAGTCCAGAGATCTTAAATGACTTGTCGGAAGGCATCTGGAGATGCCCTGATAGGACACGAGAGCTTTGGCGAGCAGCACTCTCACGTGCTCCGCTCTTTCCTCCTGCTGCTGCCGTGCCTGGTCCTGGTTCTCCTTCGGGATTTATCCGGGGCAAATCCTGCAACACTCCACCACCGAGGCGAAGTCAGTTTGGGTTTAAGGGCAACCACGGGCGAAACCGGGCGTGTAGGGAGCGGCTTGGGACGCTCGAGGCAAGGAGGCTCGCAGCAGACAGCGGCGTGCGCACGCGGGCACGGCTGTGCGCAGGTGTGAGCGGCTGTGCGTGAGTGTGCACGGGTGTGTTTCCCTCACAGCTGCTCAGGCCTTTTGAACAGGCTTTGCTCTCTCTGCCCCAACACCCGGAGGTACCCTGGGGTGTGTTAGAGGAGCTGCTGGGCCACCCAGGTCCTGTCCCGTGTAGCCAGGGAGCAGCTGCAGGAGCCCGAGCGCGGTTTTCGGGGTGAATGTGCAGGATGTGGGAGTCCGGCTGCAGACCAGGGCAACACACGGGACTGTGCGTGTGTGTGCCCACAAGCTGGGGGAGCAGAAAACAAGAGCGATGCCTTGGGTGGACATGCTTTCAGCATTTATCCCGGAATAAAAGACGCTCGAAGTGAATTCCTAAAGTATTCTGGATTTTGACAGCATCACGTTGATTCGGGTTGATTTGCACCTCCCGTGCAATCAGCAGCAGCCGTTATCACTGCGTGATGGTGGATTTCTCTTGCAGGATGTGTTTATTTAAGCATAAAGGGGTGTTTTCTGCCTTCCCCTGGGAAGCCTGTTGTAATTGCCAGCCCCTTCGCAGCAGCAGCACCCCAAAGGCCCTCGCTGCTGGCGGAGCTCGATGATCCCGTGCCCTCTCCTTGCAGCCCGGCCCCGGCCTGCCGCTGAGCCCTCTCCTCCTTCTCTCTTGCAGTCCAACAAAGTTCCCGTCGTGCAGCCGTCCCACGGAGTCCACCCGCTCACCCCGCTCATCCCTTACAGCAACGACCACTTCAGCCACGGCTCCCACTCGCCCCACTTGCCCGCCGACATCAACCAGAAGCAAGGTGAGGGCATCGCTGGGACCGGGCATGGGCAGAGGGAGGGGACGGTGCTGGGCACCACAGGGATCACAGCCAGCACCTTTAGGAACACCCCCTGGCCCCAAATCAATAGGAAAATGAAACGCTGGGGCACTGCTGAGCGGTAGGAGGTTGTTTAGCTTCTTGGCCATGCTTGGTAATCTTGGTCAGTAGGAGTTTGACACGAGAAGCAGCAGCCCCGCTGGGGAAACGGCCCTAATTCGCTGTGCACGCTGCCGTGGGGCTTAGCCCAGAGCAGAGCCTGCACCATGATGCACGAGTCAACCAGAAAATGGAAAGTCTTCTTTCCTTTGACTCATACCCAGACTGTTGTCAGGCTGTCATTTTGAGAAAATAAATGCTTGAAACAGGAAATATTTTGACTAAATAGGATCAGCGTCTGAAACCTAAATGGACATTGGCGTGCGTGTCCCCACAGCCACACGTGCGAGCTCGTCACACGTTGGGCTCCTGGGGTTCCTGCGTGAGCCCAGCACACACCAACTAACCCGTGTGTACGGCGGGTAGGGGTTAAACCCTGAGCTGTAAATACAGGAACACAGGCAAGGATTCACCCCAGACCAGCGTTCCTGGGGGCTGCAGAGATCCCACAGGTCCTGTTACGGAGAGATCCAGCCCAGCACCCCCAGCTGTGCATCCCCCAGCCCCGTGCTGTCAGGGCAAGGGCTCCTTCCCCCTTTGGTCGGGCTGCTGAGTTACATCTTCCTCTCAGTCCTGTTACACATCAGGGTAGTGAACTCCTAATAAGATGGAATCCATCGGAGTCAGTCCTAATTACAACCTTATCAGGAATCCATCTGGGAGATTAATCCAGATCTTGAGCTTGCAGGCTGCTCGCAGCTCATCACCAATTCCATAAACGCATTTATGGCCCGGGGCAGCTGCTGGACAACCCCTGCACGCTTTCTGTAGCCTGAGGCTCCTCTGCAGACAGAGGAGAGCTGGAGTTTTACCCTGGAAAGCCCTGCTGCTTAGCAGGGCACGCAGCTCACAGGGCTGTATCTGTTTCCTCCCTGGGGGATTTAAGTGCCTCGGGCCACAAGCAGCACATGCCCAGAACCCAAATTCCCTGCCCGTGAGCCTCCTGCTGAGCCCCTCCTGCCCTGAGCTGGCTGAAGGGACAAGGCACTGTTCCCCAGGACAGAGAGCAGCCGGGGGAACTGCAAGAAATGAAGAGAGGAAGCCCTCCCTGCCCGTTTTTCTCCAGCTTCTCCTGGGCTGCTCCCAATCCTGGTAGAGCCGACAGGAGCAGGAGATGCTGGGCTGCCTCCTGTGCCTGTATCTCTGGAGACCACACAGGGATTCCCCCTACGGAGGGAGAATTCCCACCTGGCACCATCCCCTCCTTCCCAGATCCTGTGAAACGATCGCTTTTCATCCCAAACCATTTGCAGACACCCACTGGAGCATCCCCGCTGGTTGCTGCTGGGATCCCGGGGCTGAGCGATGGGGTGGGGGCTGTAGGAACAGCGCTGCCCCCGGGCTCCCAGGTGCTGCAGAGAGTCCCACAGCAAAGAAAACTGTGACCTCAGTGCCCTGCCTCCTGCAGACAGCAATTCCCCCTGTCCGCCCTGCTGTCCACCAGTGTCTGTGGGCAGATGGGGCCAGGAGGGGTCCATGTCAGCGCCGGCTCCAGCTCACCTCCTTCTCCCTTCTCCCAGGAGTGCACCGGCCCTCCCAGACCTCAGACATCCCCGGCTTCTACCCGCTCCCCCCGGCTGGGGTCGGCCAGATCACGCCCTCGATGGGATGGTGAGTGTGGGATCCACGCGGGGGTCAGCATCCCCGGCTGCGTGCAGCCCCCGCTGTGTGCGGTGTGCCGGGGAGGGGGCTTTCACCCCATGCAGGGGTGGGCAGCGGGTCCGTGGGGGGGTCCAAAGGTTTGATCCTGCCCGGGGCATCCCTGGAGCAGGGGACAACCTGCTGGATTCAAAACCACTGGATTGGGAAGGAGGGAGGGCTTCTTCCCACTTCTAATTACAGCCAAGCCTCTCCTTTGGAGGAGGAGGGATTTTTTTTCCCTCGCTGGGGTTTTCAGCACAAGCAGGGCTTTCCTGGAGCGTGGAGCACGGGATGCTGCTCCCGTGGTGCCTCTCGGGAGGTGCTGCAGGAAAATGTGCCCCTGGGCAGAGACCTGAGCCTGGCAGCCTCCCTGCTGCCGGTGATGGGAGGATTTGGCGGAGGCTGGCAGGGGGCTGCGGGGCGCAGGGCGGGCGGTGGCAGGGGGCAGGGGGACTGCCCTCCTGCTGCTGGCTCAAAAAACCCCGACAAAACCCAGCAGAGCCATCCAGGTACGAGGCCGTATCGCCAAATCGCCAAACATGTTAAAACGCCAAGTAAAAAGTCAGCTTTCTGTTGTCGTTGTCGATGGATTTCGTGCTGCAGATATTTAACCACCGGGAAACAGAGGCTGAGGCCTTTGGTACAGAGCTGGGCTTCAAAGAGGTGGCATTTTGCTTTCTGTGCTCAATCTGCTACTCTCGGGCGATGATTTAACTCCTCGTATGATGTGATTCATCCTCAGGAAAAACAAGTAGTGCGCTGCCTGTGCCTGTAACATGAAAGAGGTAGCTGGGGGTGAGACAGGAGCTCCCCAACGCGAGGTCCACTCGTGGGGTGGGAGGGAAGCTGCTGCGGGCAGCCCCGCTGCGTGGTGGGGAAGAGCCAGCTTCTCCCCGAGGCTTTGTCGGGAGGCTGCTCGTGGAGGAAGCTGCACTGCTGGCAGCTCCGAGCGTCTGCGGGGTTTGGCATCCCCGATAAACCTCGCCAGGCGTGCACGTCGCTGACTAATAGGGCAGATATGGCACGGCCACAGGCGGCAGGCCAGCCTGAGGGAGTGGGGAGCACGCGTGGTGTCTGCAAGAGACTTTTCTCTTATTTTTGCTTGTCCCAAATTCACAGAAAGAGCCCCAAAGTACTCCTGAAGTGCCCCGTGCCGAAAGCCGGGTGGGCTGGGGCACCGCAGTGGCACTGACCCCACAGGATGCAGGGGATGAGGATGGGGACAGGATGGGGACAGGGATGGGGTGGGGATGGATGGGGAGAACCCATCAGCTGCAGGAGGTGACTTCTCCTCCCCAGCTGGCCAGCTGGAGCTGGGCACAAGGCTCGGGAGGACAAGCTCTGGAGGAGGCATTGTCACTCCTGGCTGGAGCTGGATGCTTCCCCAGCCCTGCTGCAGGCCCGTTCAGCTTCCAAAGCCACCTCGGCTGGTCGGGGACTTGCTGCCGCCGCCACCAGAGCGGTGCAGAGGGCACGGTGCCGGGCCGAGCACAGACAGATCCTGCAGATCTCCTTCAAGCCGAGACACGGCAGCTCCCAGAGAGCCAGACCCAGGAGCCCTCCTTGCCCCGAGCACAGCTCGAGGGCTTCGCTACCGCGCTGCTGCGGCTGTGCCTCCGCTGGGCAGAAGCTGCCTTAACCCAGAGCAGCCACTGGTGCTTCGGGGCAGCAGGATGGTGCCGTGATAAGGGGCTGCTGATGGTGATCGGTGCTGGGAGTAGCCGTGCTGTCCATACAGCAGCTCTGCACAGCATCTGTGCAGCCACATTTTGGGGTTCGAACATCCTGGCTCGCCTTCCCCAGGCGTCTGGGCTTCCACGCGCGGTTTCAAGGCTGGGAGCGTGTTTTGGCAGCCGTACAGAACAAACCGAGGTGTTTTTGAGCTATCTCCATATGAAAACGTGGGGGCTTTCCCGTGCTGGGAACAACCAGGAACTTCCTTCATATTTATTTTACTATCTCACAAATAATTTCCAGCTCCAGGTCTGGTACATGCCCGATTCCCAGTGTGAAACGACTTGAAAAAGAAAAGTAGGACCTGGCGTTGGGCTTGTTTAAAAACAAGAGGCATCCCTTTGAGGATGTGCAGGGGCACTCAGAGCCTTTCTGGGACACGTGTGGGGCACAGGAGGTGCTCTCTGCCTGGCACCCCAAGGTTTCTGTGCACCCACACCCTCCTGGAGCCGCCTGTGGCCGCGCAGCCTCGTGCGTGCCAGGCCAAAAAGCCCAGACCCCACACTGCCCCCGGCTCCGAGCCCCGTTAGCAGAGGGTATCTTTAGGAAACGCCACGTGGCTGGAGATACTTGATAGACTCTTTCTTCCCGATCCCAGGCAGAGCCAGTCTGTCTATCCGCTCCCGTCATGTGGATTTAGACAGCCGTATTCGTCAGCACTTTCCGCTGGGGCTTCTTTCTCCAGGTGAGTATGTGTGAGCCGGGGCAGCGGCCCGGCTGCCCCCACAGCTTGCAGTGTGTGCAGTAGGAGCTTGCAGCAGAGCCCGGCCCCGCGGAACAGCGAGCGGCCAGGGAGGATGCCCAGCGACTGGGTTCCCACCAGCACGAGGCAAAGCAGAGCCAGAAATCCCTGCCTTGGGCTCAGCGTTGGGAAAAGGGGGCGAAATCCATCGCTCGGCATTTCCCCCCTTGTCTCTAACCGTGATGTTGAGTACATCCCAGGCGCAGGGCTGGGTTTTGCTTTGCAGGGGGTGATATTTCACTGGGGCTCAGCTTTAGGGCAGGACGGGCAGGGGGCAGGCACTCGCTGCCCTCCGGGCCCTGCAGCTTGCTCGCAGCCCGCAGCCAGAGCCCAGACCCCGTGCAGGGGCCTCGGGCAGTGAGCGCAGCCCTGGGACAGCCGCACCGCTGATCTCCCAGGGAGCAGGACACGGCCCCCCCCGTGGCTGGGAATCGCAGAGCCTCGTGCCTCTGGGCGAGCTGCTGGGCAGGGCAAAGCCCAGCCCTGGCTCCCGGCTGCTCCCCTGCCAGCTTCTGCTTCTGCTTCGTGTTGTCCTGGAGAGCAGCTAGTGGAGGCTTCCCGCAGGAAAACCACGCGAGCAGACCTCTGGCCACGCAAACCCTTTCTCCGTGCAACCCCATGTCCATGCAAACCCTTCTCCACGCAGACCCCGATCCATGCAGCAGAGGCAGGAGCACACTGCCAGCCCCCCCGGCTCTCCGAGGCATCGCTTCTCGTGGCCTCGGGGGCGCCGGGCAGGACGAGCTAACGGTTCCCTGCGGGGCCACGGAGCCTCCCCAGCTGTGGCACAGGGGTTCCCGCTCGCAGAGGGTGGATTTTGCAGCGCTGCTGCAGACGAACGAGCAAGTACACCTGGTCAGATAAGGATCAGACTTCAGACGGTGCTGGTGGATTAAATTAAACAGCTTTTCTTTTCATGCCAGCATATCTAATGAACAGTTCATCTCCCATGGGCGATTCTGCCATCTCAAGCTGCAGTCATAAAGTGGCAAGCTTGGCAAAGCCGACTGCTCTGGCTTTACCCTCTAAAACTCTAGAGAGCTAATGAGGCTTGAAAGCTAGCGAGACCTCTCATGATCTCATTTCTGTGTTGGTGGATAACATTGCTTAGGCGAGGTGCACCTCCTAGAGTTGCAGTTTGGTTCATGTTCAGACTTATGCTTTTTCTGTTAAAAGGAAGGTGTGGGGTGGTCCTAATCTCTCAAATCCAAACGTTGGTTTGAGTTTGTTGTTCCTTCCTACAGCGCTAATAAGATATTGCAGCAACAGAGATCTGAGTGTCTGAAAACGCTCGTTAAAAGCGCCCTTGATCTCGGCGAGGCTGGCTCACGCCGCGGGCTGCTTTCTGCAGCCGCCTCTCGGCACCCGGCCGCCTCTCCCCGCGTGCGTTCGGCGCGGCTGGCAGGGGCCAAGGAAAGAGGGAAGAGATGCCCAAATCCCTGCTCCCCGCTGTGTTCACTCAGTCCCCAAATTTTGCAGCCTGCCAGGCGAAGGAGGCCGCGCCGCCGCGGGTTCGCTTTCCGTGTCCTCCGCTTGCCGTCTGCTTCTGCCGCCCCGGAGTGCCACCGAGGGAGAGCCACTGCTGGAGCTGTTGGGGCTGGCCCACCGTGGCCCCACAGCTCCCCGCACAGCCCTTGTGGCCACCCCAAAGGCTCACGGCTCACCCGTCTCCCCTACAGGTTCACTCACCCGCTGATGCTGGGCTCCGGCATGCACACCACCGGCATCCCGCACCCCGCCATCGTGCCCCACTCTGGCAAGCAGGAGATGGAGCACTACGACCGAAACATGTAAGTTGGAAGCATCACTGGGATTCCCAACACTGCGGGGTCCCCCTTGGTTGTCCCCTGTGAATGTGGGCACAGGGCTGGGTGCTGAGCACTGCGTGTGCCAGGGCAGAGTTTGGCACCGGGTGGGTTTGGCACCGCGCGTCTGGGTGCTGGGGTGGCTCTGACTGCTGACACTGACTGCTCCTCTTGTGTCCCTGCCAAGGAAACCTCAGCCAGAACCAAAGAGAGAGAAGGAAGCCAAGAAGCCCACTATCAAGAAGCCCCTGAACGCTTTCATGTTGTATATGAAAGAGATGCGGGCAAAAGTCATTGCTGAGTGCACCCTGAAGGAGAGCGCAGCTATCAACCAGATCTTGGGCAGGAGGGTAAGGGCTCTTCGCTGCGCACCCTGTGGCCAGGGTCAGCGTCCCCTGGGGGGTCCAGGGGAGCAGAGCAGCAGCGTGGGGCTCGGCAGGGCAGTGATGGGACTTGTGCCGTGGTGGGGGGCATGCGGAGTGCGGACACCCCCAGAAACAAGGGCAGGGAGCGGGGCGGAGGGGGTTTTCCCATCACTCTGATGGAGATCGGGGTTTTGTTGGTGTTGGAGGCATTGCCGCCTCACTGAGGAACATCCTCAGGCTGGAAAGAGGGTGCAGGCAGACCCAAAAGTGGGAGAAAAGGGAAATCTTGCACCCCAGTAGCAACGCTGAGATAGCAAGGTCCCCAGCGAGACCAGTGACCAGCGCAGCGTCCCCGTCCCCTGCAGCTCCTCTTGGGCACCTGCCCCCAGGTGCTCCTCCCTCGTCCCCTAGAGCCCGATTCGAGCTGGTGGCCACGGGGCAGGGGCGAGGGGACGCAGCTCAGCTCCGTGCTTGTCCTTGCAGTGGCACGCGCTGTCCCGGGAGGAGCAGGCCAAGTACTACGAGCTGGCGCGCAAGGAACGGCAGCTCCACATGCAGCTCTACCCCGGCTGGTCCGCACGGGACAACTACGTGAGTGGTGTCGCGCCTCGGGTTCCCACAGAAAAGCCCCCAAAATGGCCCAAAAATGACCCGGGGGGGCTAAAATCGGTGCCTGCCAATGTCCCAGCTGTCCCTGGTAATGCAGTTTCTGGTGGGGTGGGGTGTGTAGAAATGCAGCAGTGCTTGGAGCATCCCCGCGCTGCTCAGCATGGCACAGATACGGTGTGGATGTTGTAACTCCCCGGCTGCCTTCAGACCAGGCTGCGTCCCGCAGGCTCCACAGCCCCGGCCGTGGGTGCTGAGCCCAAGCACAGGCTGTGGTTTTGGGGGGATTTGGCAAATTACGTGCTGGCACCTCTGCTCTGCAGGTTTAAAGCCAGTGCAGGGCGTCTGCTCACAGGATCGTAATAATCATGGAAAATAATTTTTAAAAATGCAGAATAGGAAAGGAAAAGCTGCTTTGCATGAGTTCCACGCAGAGCTCAGCCTCACGGGGTGCTCGGTCCAACTCTGGGACTCCCTGTAGGGCTGTGTCCCAAGCAGCAGCCCCGGTACCCCCGGCCCGTGGGGGCTCGTCTGCTGCCCTCGCAGGGTGACGGTCACCAAGTTGGTGCCAGCCCCCCTGGGATTTTGGGACTTTGATCCCACCCTGGCCACCACTGTGAGAGGATCCTAAGCAAATCAAGCACGCCACGTTCAAAGTATTCAAATGCAGTCTGAGCACACGCAGACAGCAGCACTGCTTGCTCTGCGAGCTTGCGAGCGAGACCCAGCTCTCCGGCGAGCCTGATTCCCAAGCAAGGTTGCCATTAGGGATGAGAAAAATCTTTACAGATTAAAAAAAAGGGGGAAAAAGGTCCCAAATCAGGCAGCGAGGGGTCTGCAGGGAGCAGTGGCCGTGGTGGCAGCTCCCAGGCTGGCTGGAGGCACAGCACAGCGCAGCGCGGTGGATGTGCTGCCCGCTGCTTCGCGGCACGTCCCGCTTGCAGGTAGCAGTGCTGGCGTTTAAGGAGCCTCCGGGCTACTCAGTGGAGCATTTACAAGTGAGCATTAGAAGAATTCATTTCCTCGTAGCTGTATTAATAATGCAAGAGGCACCGCGGTAAGCGAGGTTCCACAGGCGGTGCGGCGCTCCCGACGCAGGAGATGCCGCCTTTTCTAGTGGCTTTCTCGCCTGTTTTGATCTCCCATGTAAAGAACCCTGCCTAGCAGGCTCACTGGGACCTGAAGCAAAGCACACGTAGATCTTCAGATGTCTGTCCATCTACTCCGGGGCTCTGTTGGTCGATCCAAGGCTCCGTCGTTTCCCTCTAAGCCTCTTTCTTTGCCTTGGAGCCGTGCAGCCCACCCTTACCCCTTCTTCCAGCGCTGCTCAGGAAGCCCAAACTCCACCAAAACGGTCCTTAAATAACAACAACAATTAGAAATGGAGTGCAGATGCAGTAAAAAAAAACAGGAGAGGTTCTGGGAAGCCCCAAGTTGTGTTTCCCCTGCAACAGCACAGACACCCCTGCCTCCTTGCGAGCGCAGACTGGGAGCTCGGCATCTTTGCAGGATCAGAGCCTGCTGAGACCCGAGGGGTGCCCGCAGAGAAGCCGGGGCAGCACCAAAGGGCGCTTCTCTGCGGGCATCCCGGTGTCTCAGCCAGCATCTCTGGAGGACAGCAGCGATGGTAGGAGCCAGGCATCGTTTTCCTCCACGCCCAAGCACTTCCTCCAGCGGAGTCCCATCCCTCCTGCACCTTTCCTCCCGGGAAGCACCGGCTCCTGCTCCACAAGTTGTCCCTTCCCGGCTGGCAGACGAGCTCGGAGCACGTTGGCTGTCCCTCCCGGCACTGCCGAGCAGCTGCTCCGGGTCTCGTGGTCGCTGCAGGAGAAGCTTTTCTCTCTGGAGCTCGAGCGAGGAGGAGGAATGTAGGTCACCTCCGCGGCACGTGACTCGGATCTCAGGCAGGAAATACAGTTGCTCCCACACCGAAGAAAAAGCTTACCGCAGCTCGGAGCTTTCCACCTTCACTCAAACCACAAGAAGTCATATAAAAAGTCATAGGTCAAAGGCAGCCTGCAAGCTGTGCTCCCCACGCAGGCCAGATTTGCTCCAGCTCCACCGTGCCCTCATTAAGGAGGTCACCGGGAGACGCGGGGAGTCGTTACGTATTTGGGGTCAGGCAGGCAGTTTGGGGTTAGGGTTGTGTTTTGCTGCTAGGGAGTGAAGAAAACACGTGAATGAGAGGTGGGTCCAGAGCTGCAAAGGCACTGAAGCAGGGAGATGAGTTAACAAAAAAAAAAGTAGTAGAGAGATGAGTATTTTAAAACAGTCTCTAGGGACTTGCACAAACTGCCTTTCCCATCTGAAACCAGGGATGCTCCTCCTGGTTCCAAGTCACTGAGCGATTTCTGTCCAGGTGTCAGGAGCAAGTGAGTGTGTGCTGGAAATGGGGAAGGTGCTGGAACAGGGCAAATGGTTTATAGGAACATAAGGATGGAGGAGGAGATAGAACGTGCCAGGAGGGTGAGCTGTTGCTCGTACAGCCTCAGTCACAAGTGGTAACTCTTGTTTAATTCTATTCATTTAGTTAAATCTATTAATTAAAGCATGGTGGGTGGGATTCCCAGGTGGCACACGTAGGGTGGCTGTGGCGTGTCGGCAGAGCAGCTCCGGCACAGAGCTGTCTGTTCCCATCCCTGTGAGCCCCCACAGAGCTCCCGAGGGTTTCCGCAGCACTCCAGAGGGGCAGCAGAAACGCTGTGATTTTAGAACAGAAATCCCATTTCTCACCCATCATCATCAGCTACCAAGGGGGCTTCCCTCCTCAAGCATTTCGGTACAGATGATGAGCTGACACGGCCTCACTCTGCAGTCCTACGGCTCAGGCAGGTGATTTGATAGCTCCTCACTGCTGTCGGGGACACTGGAGCACCCCAGGGCGCTGCCCCAAGTCGCTCAGCACCGCGCAGCACCGAGCGCAGGCAGCTTTCAGCATGTCCATGTGGTTCGTGCTGCTGGGCTGTGCCAAGCTGCTGTCCACTGCCTGGCGAGGAGCAATTTGCTTGGGTCAGTGCAGAAATAAAAAGGTCCAGTACTCACCATGTCACACAGACCAAACGCCTTGGGTGAAAGCTGCTACCACACCATTTCCCTAAATACATTCAGATCAGAGTTGTGCCGTGTCGTGCAGGTGAAACCTCAGTGGGATTTACTCTTGGGCTTCTTTGAATTGAGGAGCAGAGCTGGGTGATCATTCACAATAACACCCTGCAAAGAGCCATTCTCCAACCACATGCACTAAAATCTTATTTTGCAACTTCTTACGGGGGCTGCAGCATAAGTGAGGGGCTCAGCTGCGTTTGCAGCGTGGCTGTGGGCTCACGTAGTGCTGTCAGACCTTGCCCAAACATTTCAGGGCTCCACGTTAGGAAGAATTGCCAGCGACGCAGCTGGGTGACAGCAGCACCGTGCCCTCCGTCTCTGGGTTTCTGCTGCTGCCCCTGCAAATGCGCTCAGCTCCTGCACGCCCGTTTGGGCATGCCGGGGATGAGTCAGAACGCCTGCGGTGCTGGATCCAGGGATGCTGACAATTAGGGTTGTTGCTGAGCAAACATACGTGCCCAGAACAAATTTGTGCCATGTCAACGACAGCCGTAGCCACTTGTGCAGACGGTTGGCTCGGTGGCTGCTCTGAGAGTTCCCCCTGGGTCTCTTCTGTGGAGCACCAGGCCAGCACTGCACGCAGCCACAGCTTTCCCAAGGGCCAAATCCAAGCCCCACAGCCCTGAAAACACCGAGGGGCATCCCTGGTCTCCTGGGAGCGTGGACTAACGGGCTTTTCCTTGCATTTCCTAGGGGAAAAAGAAGAGACGGACACGGGAAAAGCAACAAGATTCCAACTCAGGTAAATCCTGCGGTGCCAAGCCACGTGGCTCCTTGGTGGCTGCCACCTTGCTTTTGCTCGGAGCGTATAATCCACAGCAGTCGTTGGGTTTTACCGTGGTTCCTTTTATTTTCCTGATCTTAACTAATGAACTGCACGATTTAAAGGCAGTGAATGAACATTGCTGTGAGTTCTTCATAGGTGTTAGAACATGGGTAGTTCGTGGAAACTGAAAAGATCAGATTTTGGCAAGCAGATAACTTAATATATATTATCACTCAAGTTAATTATTCATAACAAGCAGCTGAATGCCCCCATCGGCCCCACAGGTACTGTTAAGGAAAGCCCTCAAATGAGTCAATATTGCGTGTGGGACTAAATGCAGTGAGAGGCCTGAAGACTGGCACTGCCCAAAATTTGTTTCGCTTTTCATAATAAGGCAGAGCTCGAGTAAAGTCAGACTAAAAACTAGGACAGGTTTCCTCCCTGCACCACGCTGTTTATCAGAAAAGGCCCTTTGTCAGGTTTGAGCTGCTCGCACACACATTCCCGTCATCCAGGGCCATTCCCATACTGGCTTTCTGGAGCATTTCTATTGGGAATGAATCACGTCTGTTCCAGTAAGCAGGCATTGTAAAACATCAGGAGACCATCCCTGCCCACTGTGGCATCGCGTAGCCTTCAAGTTACGACCCGCAAGTCGAGCCCTGGCTCTGCTGATGTGCTTGCCGGGGATTACGGGGCCATACATCCAGAACCCTGCAGCCCGCATTAGCACTCATTAATCGCTGCAGGATGATCCCTTTGGATTATCCATAAAAAGCAGTTCCGTAAAAGTGTCCCAGTGATAACTTCGGTTTGGTTAACGCTGTTAAGCCATTCAGTGCCTGGCCTGCAAAGGAGCACTCAAGCATTTAGGTTTCTGTGTAGTGTGAATGTATTTACGTATCCAAACGGCTTGTGTGTGTGATACAAAAATAGTAATTTTGCCCATTCCGGACTGAAAGCCTGGTACACAACAGGAAGCACTGGTGGTGGCTGATAGAGGCGGTGTGAATCCAGTACAGAAACCCTTCGAATCCTATTGCAGCACGGCAGAACAAGCACGATGTGCCTGAAGGAAAGGCCACGGAGGGTGGCTTTTCCACCCGACCTGGAAGGGGAAGGCAGGGGACAGAGCAGGATGGCCGGGGCTGATCTCCGCGGTGCTACCTCTGCTTTCCACCTGCTTCTGCAACGTTTCCTCTCTTCTCTTCCGCCCGCAGCCCGCGCTCGCTGGCAGCCCGGTTAGTCACTGCTGGGAAGGCAGGGAGCAGGTAAGGATTCAGGCACAGCAGGCAGCGTCGCTGTCCTCTGGCAGCGCTCCCAAACCTAAGAGATTGGATGCGTCACGAAAAGCCGTGAATTTCCCGGTAATTGCTCGCATTTCCTGGAGCTGAGCTGGATTTAGCTGAGCTAGGGAAGCACGACGAGAGAGCAAAATCCAGGAGAATTCAGCCAGGAGGCCGTTTCCCAAAGCTCCTCCTTCCCCAGCTGCCATCACTGACTTTGCCTAACGCTCGCTTTTTTACAGGAGAGGTGGTGCCGGCACCGTTGCAGAACCAAAAAAACGGGATTGTAGTCTGTTAGTGGTGTGTTAAGTGGCTGACATGATGTTGCCTCTTTTCTTCCTCCTGCTCCTCCTCCTCTTTGTGCCTCTGCCTTGCCCATTCTCCGCCACGCATGCTTCTGTGTTCAGATCCTGCCTCTCCTAAGAAATGCAGAGCTCGCTTTGGCCTCAACCAACAAACGGACTGGTGCGGCCCGTGCAGGTGTGTATCGGCAACCGGCGGCTCCTGGGCACCTCGCGGGGTTTTCCTGGGCCAGGGGGTTCGGCTGCGCTCGGTGCTGTGGTGATTTGCTACCTCAGGGGCTGCAGTCCCAGCTTCACGCTGTGTCTGGCAGCCGCCGTGGGCACTGCTCCTGTGGTGCTCTGCGTGGTCGCTGGCTGATGAACCTTAAAAGCTCATTTTCAGGTTATCCTGGTGCGGGGCTTTCCTCCCCTGTTTAAGATTTCCTATCCCATAAACACCCCTCCGGGGCCAGCAGTGAGTAGTGAAGGTTTTCCCTGCTTATCCTGGGACTAACTGTGTAATCCAAGCTGTGCCCTCGTTGGTCCTGAAGTTTTGCAGCACCCACCATGGGGTGGGAGAGCCTCAGGCAGTGAGGCAGTTTGCAAGTTCCTGGCTTTGAGGGAAAGGCAGCAGTGAAGCGCAGTGCCTGAGCCGCCGCAGTACCTGGCTCAGGGTGTCTGCAAGTGCATCCTGGTAGGAAAAGCTCAGGAAGGGCTCCTGGACCGGGACAGAGGTCTGTGGCTCACAGCACAGCAGGTGCATTTCCAGGTTTCCATACCCATGTGCTGAAGACAAGCAAAAGCTGAAAGCACAGCGAGAAGTATTGCTTAACGTGCTTACTGCAGCGTAAAGCGAGGGAAATCATTTAATCCATCCAACTCTGAATACTGGAGGCATAGCCCTGCAGAGCCCCAGCAGTGCTTGGTCACGGCTCACCCAGGCTGTCCAAGGTCCCAGACCATCAGCTGGTGGGGTCGGGCAGGTCCCTGCGCCACGGGGGTGAGCAAGGAGGCTGGGCACACACCTTGCCACCTCGTCCTGCACCCGGGCAGCAGCAAGCGCTGCATTCCCCTGGGAATTTCTTACTGCTTCAGAGCAGCTTCAGAACATCCCCTGCTTTAACTGATTAAGTTAAATCCCCTAATTTAACTGATTAAGAAACACTGTCCAGAGGGACAGCCGGGATGTGGCAGAGAGCTGAGGGACAGCAGGTCGGGGGCAGCTCCGCTCCGATTTCATTTGAACTCTCTTAACTCAGCTTCAGCGCTAACCCTCTGCATTGCTTCCGATTAACACAGGCGGCTGAAGTGTTTGTAGACCTTAGCATGCTTTTTGTTTTTAAACTTTTGCCTCTCCAACACTATTTAGTCAAATCTTTTCTGCAATTCTTCGTACTAACGTGCCGCTGCCAGCTCAAAGGCTTCTGTCCTGCGTGCTGTGGTCACCGATGCCTGCGGAGAGCAATGCCCACCAGAGGATTCCCACTCCACAGGAGGAGAGTTTAACTGGTTAAAACTGGGTGGTTCTGCTCTGGAGGTTTCACCCTCAGCCCCCCTTACACCAGGGCAAAATGCTCCAGAGTGCTGTAGTTCCTAAAGGACAGGGATAGCTGTATGGTAGCCATGCCAGCCCTAGCCCACTAAATGCTTCATTATCAACAATCTGTAGTATCAGATCTGCTTTTTCTCCGTTATTTTATATCTAATTGAATCAGTGGATGGAATGGATAGATCTGTATCATCTCACAAGTAGGTCGTTGAAACTCTCGGTCCTGCAGCTACTCCTGAAATGTCTGTGGGAAACACAGCTTGTCCTGAGGTTTGTCTGCTCTGGGAAATTACAGCCCGTGCAGAATAACCTGTGTTAAATATTCCATTCAGCAGGGCTGTCGTGTTTCATATCACATTAATTGGGTCACCACAGCTAACTATGACACTGACAGCAGTAATACCACTTCTCTTGTTCACATCCAGTGCAAAGTCATGTTTAATACTGGGCTAGTTAATGCATATTCCAACACTGTCTGGTTTTTCATTAGTAAGATCAAAGAAAGGTGTGTGCCCGCATTAGCAAGTTCTCCATTTGATCTGTTTTCCTCAGATGAGACAGTCGAGGCAGGGAGCTGAGCAGGAGGAAGACATTCTTTTTAGCTATTTTAGCTATAAAGTCATTAACAGCATCTCCAGCAGAGGAATTGTTCCCTCGCTACTGTTAAGGTGACATCTCGAGAGCTCTATTGTTTAAAACTACTGAGCTGCTCAGAGTAGGTGACATGAGGGCTCTGTCAGGAGAAGAGAAGGAAAACTAACTCCATACAGAGCGTGTACAGACAGCGTGAGATGGTGCGAGGTGCTACCTGAATAGCCAGGAACGGGTCATCTCCGTGTGAGATGGCAACTGGAGCTCAGGTAAACACAGGCTACATGTTCCTGCTTTTGGTCCCAAACAGCAGAATTGTCCTGGGATGCAGCGAAACCATGTCCAAGTCTGGCTATAGTGAGGACAATGTGTGGCTTGTATTTTTGAGCCCCCAGACCAACAGGGGACAGCACATCCAACAGAGGAGCAGCAGTTTCTTACTAGGAATGTGGGGCTAGCAGGGAGTGATTGTCAGCAGCTGGGTACTTCTCTGTGAAACCCTTTTTGTGAGGAGATCTGCCCCTGGCTGCTCATTCACACACCTCTGCCGAACCCCCTGCAGTGTGTGTGTGCACTGCACTTTGTGCTTGTGCCTCAGCTTCTGAGGAGACAGATCACGGTGAACACTTCTTGGCCAGGAAAGCCCTGGGCTGAAGTGTGAAGGTTGGCACTGTCCTGGCTGCTTTTCCTTGGCCTGGTTAGTAGATTGAAAGGTGATGGATGCTCCAGAGACAAATGAGTCTTGTGAACAGCTCAGAGCTGCTCTGGCATCCCAGGAGGGACCTCAGCCAGCCTCAGACCGTGCCCTCCGCCAGCCGGTCGCTGGCCTTTTTCCTCCTTCCTCACGAGCCTGTGGAGTGCCTTCAGCTCGGCCATGTCACTGAGTCAGAGGCAGGAGTGAGTGTGAAGTATTTGGAGGGTCAGAGGTGTTACGAATAGGCTGAGATCAGAGGCTTTTGCTGCAGAAAAAAAAAAATAGAGCTAAGTAGATGATACATTGCATGCAAGCCTAGGAGAGTGGTAGGAAACGTGCTACAGGCAAAAACACTCCTAAAACCTTGAGTTTGGGTTGACCAGGCGTTGCCTTGGGAGGAAAGCCAAAAACCGATGGGGTCCTGGCAGCGAGCGCTGGGGCTCTGCTGGGGCTGCATCCCACGGGGCAAACAAGAAGGGCACGGGTTGTGCCGCATCGCAGCGGGGATCCCTGTCACGGCCAGAGCTTTGTCCCCACAGCACGGGTGGGCCGGTCCTTGGCCCCCATGGGGCCGGCATTTGGCCCTCACCGGGCTCTGCCCTGACGGGGCCCGGCCCCGCCGCCATTTTATCGCCCCCTGGCGGGCGCTGTGGGGAGCCGCTCCCGGCCATGGCCACCCGCCCACAGCCACCCCGTCACGGCCACAAGCCCACGGCCACCCCAGCAGGGCCACAAGCCCACGGCCACTCGGTCCTGGCCACCCAGGACCCCCGCAGGGCCGGCTGCGAGCCCCCTCGCCCCGCACCGCCACCCACCCGCCCTTAGGTGCATGTCCGCAGGCTCGCCTGCTATTCACGGCTAACTCTCTTCACTGTTCTTAGGAGGAAAAAGAAGTGCATTCGGTACTTACAAGGAGAAGGACGCTGTGCCAGCCCAGTTTCTTCCGATGGAAGTGCTATAGACTCCCCTCCCTCTCCCCTGGATGCACTCCAACGCGTACCCTCTGCTTTCCCTTCAGACCAGCCCGCAGCCCCCGCTGCCTCCGCGCACCGAGAGCCTCCCGACCCCTTCCCCGTCTCGGCCCACGCCGGCCCGGCCGCCAGCTCCTCCAGACCGAGCGCCCACCGCTCGCCCCGCACGCCCGCCGAGCCCCCGGCGCACAGCGTGGCCCCCGCGGGGACGTAGCCCCGCGCCCACCCGCCCGCCTTGGCTGAGACACCGGGCACCTTGCTCGCTCCACAGCACCGGAGGCCCGTCCAAAAACTCCCCAAGTTCACTGTCAAACTTGCAAAGTTAGGCGACGGAATGATTTAAGGATGCTGGAAAACTCTCTTTTTTTTGTTTATTTTTTTTTTTGGGGGGGGGGGTGGTGGTTAAAGATAGAAAAGTGACTTTAAAAAAAAGGTTAAAAAAAAAATACTTGCCAAAATTTCTAAGTGCTGATGAGTAAACAAGCCTTTTGTCCCTGCCCTGTGCTGCTTTTTTGTTTGTTTGGGGTTTTTCTTTTTTTTTTTCTTTCTTTTTTCCTGCATTATCTCCAAGTATGGCAGAAAGCAAAGAGGAACCCCCAGCTTGCTGCAGTAGGTGGTAGGTGCTATAAATCTAACACTGGCTTCCATTTCCTGCCTTCTGAGCTGCTTGAAACTGTAGTCGGTCACAGATCTCCCGTAGCTGTTGTACCACGGGGCTGGAAAAGCTGGAACAGGAGCATTTTGTAAAAGCCCTCGTGTCTGAAGACTAAATGTAGCGATGCTAGCTCCCTGATCCGACCGATAGATGAAATATTTAAACAAATGAGGTGTGTTTTTTAAGCTTCGTGTCCGAGGACAGGAAGGTACTGTTTACAGGTAACAGGTCTCTGTGCAGGACACCGATCCCAATAGCAGAGCAAAGCGGGGCGCTGACCAGGCACAGCAGGAGCTCGGCCGCTTGGAGGTCTGACCGCTGCCCGTGTTGGTGCACGGGCCTCCCTTGCTGTCGTGACTCGGTCCCTGCAGCTCTGGCAGCCAAAATTCCCATCCACCAGCCTGGGGGCAGCCTCAAAAAGCCTCAAACTCTGCAACCAGCTGTGCACCGGCTCACGGGAGGAGCACAGCACGTGTAAAGCCGTAACGCCCAAGCGCTACGCTCCGTCCCAGAGCCTTTCCCTTGGCAAGCAGGGGTGAGGACAGGCGGCCGCGTGTGCTCTGCCCCCCTCTTGGCTCTCCCCTTCCCCGGGGCAGGCCGGGAGCAGAGCAGCACGCTGCCCGGCTCTCTACTTACAATCCGTACTTACCCTCTGCAAGATCAAAACCATTTCTTGATGATTTGGTGTAGAACTTTAAAAAAAAAAACAAAAAAAAAACTTATTCTAGCTTTTTCTGAGATCTTCCCTCTACCTCCATAACGATGCCAAATGTTAATGTCTTCTCTCCAGCTTGAAAACATTTACCAGTTTCTGGTATTTTATTTATATGTTGAGCTTGACAAACAAAAACACTGCGGACAGATTCTGATCTCCCATAAACTGATGTAAATCCCCAAAAAGTTATTGATTTACTTCACATTTGCATACCTGTCACAGAGACCAGAATCTGCCTGAAAGAAATGTATTCTAGACTGCTGAAGAGAGAAATAACAACAGACTGAGGGAGAGGGGGATCTATTTTTTTCTACTTTACAGAATAGGTTTTAGAGTACTGAATGCAAATTATGTAGTAATATTATTGTAGAACTGCAAGAAATTTAAGATGACCTTTATAATGTAAAAATATTTTTATATTTTTTTCTTAAAACAAAAACAAAAACCCTAATTTTTTTACATTGGACTAAACAACTTTTTAAGCAAGTTAATGCATCAAAGATCAAAAACTTTAAAAAAAAAAAAGATTAGTCTGTAGAGCATCTTTGGGTTTATTCCCTTTATTTAGGTACTTTTGCTTATAGTAGCGTAGACTTTTTAATTCCAGTTTTAGTTTAGATCTAAACCTATTGCTTAATTCCTCTCCTGTGTAAATGTAACTTCAGAAGCACTGAATGAAAGCTACGTGCACAAACCTGAAAGTCGTTTTAACCCTCAGAGAAGTGACATTACCTGAAGCGCCGTCCACCTGTACTTGGCCATGTCCTTACGGCACTCGGAGGGTTAATTACATAGCACTAGATCACCACACAATCTGCTCGGTTTTAAATTATTTTAGAAAGCTTAGACAACAGCATGGTCCAGTGCTGAACAGAGGAACTCAGCAGACTATTCCCAGACCCAACATAGATTCTTCTTATATATATATAAAAAAAAAAATCTAAAAAAAAAAAAGCTGTGTCTCAGCTGACCACTTTTCATGGTGACTCTGATGTAAGGTGCTGTAGAAGTGTCAACTACTGTAAAAGCCACAGCTGACAAATCAGCCACACTCAGCCCATCAGTGGCCTAGCGTAAGGCTGGCACACCCTAATACCTGATGGCTATTTGGTGGTGGGATAAAATGTAACTTAGCAGCAAAGCAAAGAGGGGTATAAAACAAACCAAAAAAAAAAAGCAGATGTGTTTAAATAACACCAGAGGAAATTTAGGGGAAAGTCCTGCACAGTATTAAGCTGCGCATCTTGACCAAGGGCCGAGTAGCACCTGGCATGCCCAGAACAGCCGTCACTCATTTCAGAACTCGTTAGGACTTTCACCCGCTTATTTCAAGGCTACTCAGGGCCCTCCACGGCGTTCAGGCTGCCTGCCTTGGTTCGGGGCACTACTGAGCAGGGAAAGGCCCGTCTGCATTGCAGCCTCCCCTCACCACGTTTATTCCATCCGATTCCTGCAGTCTCCTGGTGCACCGCGCTGCTCCCCTCCTGCGGGACCTTTCCCTGTGTGCTCAGGGCGCAGGCGCAGCGCTTCCACCTCCACCTGCCCCCCTTTTCTGACCGATGCCCCAAAAAGGGGCCCTGTGCCCACAGCTCCGTGCCAGACCTCACCCCGTGGCTTCAGCTACTGCAGGACAGGCACCATTTCCACCTGGTGCACCTAACAGCATCAGTTCATACTGGTCTGAGAAAATTTAATCCCCCTCCTCCCCCAAAACATGCAAGAAACAGACCTTTAAACTGCCCCTTTCTGAGACAGAACAGCAAGCGTGAGCAACTCGTGCTACGTGCCCTATGGTTAACAATCAATGCCAAAACAGAGCTACGTTTATTAATACCAAAAAAGTGTCTTTAGAAATGCTATATGAAGTGTTACTCTTTTGTTTTAATGCTCTTTTGTAATAGAAGGAAAACTTTGCCCTTAAGTTTTTATCGCAACAAGATTTTTTTTTAGTTCTTTTACAGCAATTTCAACTTTTCTTGAAATACGCATTTGAATTCCTGAAACCAGTTTGAATGTAGAAGTCATGGAAATACCACTTCATTAAACCAAGTAAAACCACTGTATGTATGTAGCAGGGATAAATGTTTTGCAGCTGTACTTTCATTTGTCCAATGATTCTCCATCATTTGTTGTAATTTTTTTACTTCATTGAGTTTGTATTTTTTGGCTTTTATGTTCAAAATATGTTTATAGCTTTATAAATAAAGTAATTGCCAGACTGGCTATTCAGAATAGGCCACTGGAAGTTATAAACCTATCAAGGTGTCAAATAGTTATTCCTTGGAACCGAAGAAGATTCTTGCTTTTTTTTTTTTTCCAGCATTTGTATGTTTAAACACTTTTTAGAATAATTGCCAATAGTCTTCAACAAAGGTAAGACTGAAATTGTAAACCAAGACTAAGGAAATATACATTTTATGTAAAACGATCACTACAGATGACTTCCTCCTCCTCCCCACAGCCCATTTAATCACTTCTGCCAAGAGCAGCTCTCTGAAAAGGCCATGAGTGGGGAAAAAAATAAATAAATTAAGGCAGCTCCATACAAGTTAAACAGAAAAATAAAGCTTAGCAATGGGAAATTGGTCAGTGTCTCTCTTTCAGAAATTCCAAACTACGCAGCCTCTGTCTTTTACAACAGCAGGCATCAGGTCCAGGAAAACCCACATAGCAGCTGCAGTGGACCCCAAACTATCCAACAGCACCTTCATAGAGGCTGGTTCTCTACAGCCCAGTTCTAATTGCTCGAATGGATGAGACAGCCGAGAGGTTGGACATTCAGAGGTTAAAAAAGGCGTTTTCTCACACTGACATACCCGTCTGGCAGCTACAGAATTTGAATGGAGTCTGAGACAGCACTACAGGGTAATTCCAGAGAAAATAAGTCACATGGAATCCTAACAACCTGGCCTACTAAGAATATTAAAATTTGTCACAGCCATATAAACCTCTGAGCACAACAGCCCTTTGTTGTGCATATTACTCGACTGCCACAGTTGCAGGAGTTGTGTGCGCACTCCTCCTATCAGCAGCCCACTGGCACCACTCCGGAGCTTCAGCAAAGGCCACTGCGGTCAAATGCTTTCGTGGTGAAGCTGAGGGGTTATTTCTTAGGCAAGCTGCCTTAATAATTAGCAAGTCTTGCCACAGGTGTGTTTTGTGCAAACCAAGTAGAAGCAGGGTAACACGGAAGACAAGCTCTGCCTCTTCCTCATCCTTCAGCGCAGAGGCACAGCGTCAGGCAGCAGCTGCCAAGACACAGATCCTAGCCCGCTGACCAGCCCCTACAGGAATCACACACGGGTCTCTGCCTTTGAGCACAATTACAGTACCAGGCTTCTGTATCAGAAGCACAGCACTCCAGGAATGGAACCCGGGTAATGCCAGGACACTCTGTGCTTCACACAGAGATGGATTTGTTTCCTGAAAGAACGCAGGTTCAGCTGAATATTCAGCTACAAGAATCGTTATCAGAAGCTTTTCTCTAGCAGCACTTTGAGTTGCTTTGTTTGCAATACAGGATGCTGGGAAAGC